CCGCGGCGGGGGCTTCCATCGCCGGCAGGGCAGGAAGCATCGGGAGACGGCGGTGGGCTGGCGAGCGGTTGGCTCCCGCGCTAGCGAGGATGACTGCGACGAGGAGGAGTGCGGGTTGGGGGGAGATTTTCCCCTCAACCCCTACTTCTACAGATTGCAAAGTCGTTTAAGGGTTGGACCTCTAAATTTTTTTACGGGTTTGAGGGTTTAGAGGTTCTAGTCTACGGAGTTTTTTTGGCGAAAACTGTAAAAAAGCGGTTATTTTTAGGGATTTAAGGGTTTGAGGGCTCTACTAGTAATGCTCTAATAATAGTAATAACTTGTGCTAGCCTAGACATGAGTTGTTCTATGATAATACATTTGATTTGGCATGAGTCCTGTCACGCAGCCTTGAGTGTTAAAATCTCAAGCACCGGGTAGGAAATTATGAGATTGGCGCACACCACACATGCAGGTCGCAGGCAACGGCCAGCAAGAGCGATAATAGAACTAGACGTGAATTGCTGCCATCAGCTGGTGATGCCCTAGCACGGAGGCGACGACGGGTTGAGCGGCCAAACCTATTCATCAATCATCTTTTTTCTTTGAGAATCTCCTATTCATCGGGAGGCAAATGAGGTTGCTCATGAGCTAGCTATGCATAGTTTTAGTGATCATATCGACTGTATTTGGGATGACGATGCCCCTAGCTTTTTACTGTATTTACTAAGCTCATAAAAAAACAATGTAACCGTGTTTGAGAATCAATAAAACTCGCCAAATGGTTTTCTCTCAAAAAAATACTGATTTTCCAGAGCCTCCTTCTCAAAGTTCTTACCTTGTCCCACCATGACGTCATCCAACTCATGAGCCGGCCGATCATGATGTTTGAGCAATTCCTCCAAATTCTCCTCCATCGCCTTCCCCACCGCCGAGGTCGAACTCAATACCCCATCCATGAGGAAATAGGCCAGAAGCAACCCTTGGTCCCTTCCTGGATCCACTCGGTGTGGAGATCAGTGAAGATAAACAAGAATCTCTCACAGGAGGTCAAAGACCGCCGCCGGAGCAGAAAACCATGGTTGGATCGTCGTTTTACAATGATATATACACTTGTAAAATATACATACCTCCGTCCGTCGTTCTTTTTCCAGGTGGAAATCACATTTTTTGGCAGGGAATTTTGAGCTTTATTCAAACGAAAGCGTTTGCTGAGCAGTCAGGTAGAAGGCTGCTGATCAGGAAGCTATGAGTTTTCGTAAGCCAGCTTTCGGTGGCGACTGGCTTACGGTAGCAGCCGCCGCGCAAGCATGTTTTGCACAATGGTGAGCTGGACCATTGACTGATCTACTTACATGTGTATTACATAAGATTTAAAACTAACAGACAACTCGACAATTTCTAGAAGAATTGGTGCCACAACTGATCGACTGTTGAGGCGAGTGTTCCGGAGGTTAACCATCTCCAGGTTGTCGGTTTCCAACACCACATGCGAGAATCCTCTGAGATTTGCAAAGATGACTCCATCCTAAACTACTAGGGCTTCTAAGATCATGGGGTCAGTCACTCCGGGGTGCGGTTTGCACCAAGCACCCAATAGAGTTGTAGGTGATCGCGCCACACTTGCAGCTCCACTTTTTCCTTCGTCATAAACGAACGTTGCGCCACTGTTTGATACATCCATTTTGCATCATGTTTTCCTAGTGTTATTTATAGTGTTTTTAATCAATATAACACTTTATGGAGCAATTCTAATGCCTTTTCTTTCTTAAT